CCGAGGACTGTCCTATCTCCCGCCATCATCGCTCATGGGGTGGACGAGCCCCGCTGGGCCCTGGCCTCGGAGGTCACTGCCCACTTCCAACCACCTCCAGAGCCCTGTACCCTGCTTCTTCTGACTCCCACTCCGTGGCCCCACAGCAGCCTTTTCACCACCAGAACCCACACATGGCGTCTCCCGTTGATGGCATGCTGACACCAAAGTGGCTTCACTGCCTCATCCTGTCCCAGCCCCGTGGTCCAGCGCTGTAATTACTCTCGCTCACAGGGAAGCTAGCGCAGCCCCATCGCCCCCTCCCCCACTCTGGCCTGCAGGGGCCCGAAACAGGGTGGACGGAGCATCCATTTCTGCCTTCAGGTGGCGACAGGGCCTCATTTCTTCACCAGGAAACGGTGAAGACTTGGGACCTGCCGTCCTCACCTCCCATCATCAAACCCACCCGACGGCCCCACCTGGCCCTTCCCTGCCTCACGGGGCCGCGGTCCACTGCTCTACTCCAGCCTGGCTGTCCTCACTGTGCCGGTCAGCTACCTTTGTCCAACTTCAAGGTCACTTCTGCCTCATCTTCCCTTTGGTAACAGTTGGTAAGAGCCCGTTCCTCCTTGAACCTCCTCTCTGCCTGACACTACCCCACCTGGGCCCTCCTCCCCTTCCTGAGGTCCTCTGTGCGCAGGCCCCGCCCCGTCCATTCTCACCTGGCTCCCTGGATGCACATGCCACCTGTCAGTGATCTGCGTCATCTGCGTGCCAGTCCATGTTTTCAACAGCTACCCTGACACAACTCTGACTTAAAATGTCCACATTTTACTTTCAAATTTTCAGGAAAGCTTATTATCCAGAGTGCTCCTAACTGCGTGCCATCTGTCACCTACTGGGTCTCAGGCCAGGAACTCGGGATTCAGTGGATGTGTTTCTCTCCCTCATCTAGCAGGTCTAGCTACAAAACAGGTAAGAGCTGCCCACACAGGTCCATCGTCCCTGCCAACACCTGTGACCCGGCTGATTACCCCAGCCACCACCATCCTCACCTGGATGACTGCACAGCCCCCGAGTGTCCCCTCGTCCACTCCTTCCCACCCCTCCCCTTCTCCTCGGGGAACAGTGATGCTGAGACACAGATGGGTCAGGCCGGTCCCCGCTTTAACCCTTTCGATGCGTCCTCACTGCACGTTCTCCTGACCAGGCCTCTGGGAGCCTCTGCGGCCTCGTCTCCACCCACCTCTCTAACGCCAGAGCGCAAGGGGTCACAGCGAGGGCACGTCCCTTAGAACCTCCCTCGGCCAAGCGTGTGTCTGCCTCAGACCTCGCAAGGACCCTGTCCGCTCCCTGGAGCACTCCCCGCACTCCGCATGTCCCCCAAGCATCGGCCTAATTGAAGCCCTCAGGGGGCCTTTCCCAGGCCTGAGGCAGGCCCTCCTGGCTCCCTCAGCACCCGTGACAGCAGGTGCTCCAGTAACGCTTCATTGTAACGTCGATGCGATATCGCAGGAAAGAAACACATTTATGTCAATTAGCCGATGGTAAAATTGGTTTCACTACGGGTCATTTTGCTTCAAGTCGCAGAACCTATCGACGACGTGAAATGAGGACGTACTGCGCTGCGGAGCCTGCTTCCTGCTTTGCACCTGTCTCTACCACTGTCCCTCTGTGCTGCTGTCACTGTGCCAGGCCCAGCGCCGGTGCATCCACCCAGGATCGCTAAAGAATGACTGACAGGCACTTATGCTCTCTAGGTGGGGCTCATCCTGGGGAAGGGCAGGCACACCCCCAAATACCCATGACTTTGGGCAGGCTGGGTCCCCAAGGCCACTCACATTTACGCAGCGCTTTCTGGTACCGCCGGCCCTGCGTGTGCCGCAGCACGTGCTCCGGGGCTTTGTTGATGTGCCTCAGGGTGAGTTTGCAGAAGAGCTGGCGCCTGCGGGGCAAGGGGACCGGTGTGCAAGGATCCCGACCTGCGCCCTCTAGCGGGCGGTGTCGGAATCGCCAGATGCTGGGGTGGGAGCCGGCGGGGGGCCTACGATGCGGCCTGGGCATCAGGAGTCTCAACCGCGCCGAGCAGTTCTACTCTGCCAGAGGATGAGGAGCACGGATCGGGACAGACGGTGGCCTGGCCCGCCCCCAGGTGCCTGATGTGAAAATGTGTGCACGACAGCCCGGCGAGGTCCTGGACGTGTCAGCGTTGGGCTGTTTCTATCAACCATACTCTCAGCTCGATCAAAGCTCTCCTCGAAAGTGACGAAGGGAAATGGACCTCGTTCGGAACCTCAGTGACAAAGCACGGGCGCTGCCAATGCTCTATGAAGCAGTCAGACCCAGGTGACATACCTCTCGTTTACAAAAGAGGAACCAAGCTCAGCAGAAACGGGTCTCACCTGGGACCCCAGGTGACTCAGAGCTCCAGGACTCCCACCCGCATCTCAGATCTCCTAAGCCCTGGGGAAGGTGGGTGCGGGGAACCGCCCCGCGCAAGAGGCGCGCTCGCCCGTGGGGAGGGGGGATTGGCGCCCACCGCCCGGCGGCGGCCGGACTCGGGCCGGAACCGAACCCCACCCCCCGGGCCCCCTCGCGGTGCCAGGCCGGCGCCGCCCACGTACGGGTTCTTGGTGCTGGGCACGATGTGCGGCTCGAACGC